ATTATATTTTGACCAGAGAAAGACACACACACACACACACACACACAGAGGGAAAGTGAGAAAGCAAGCCACCAGGTCCAAGACTTGAACTGTGGTTGGCCATGTGGGAGGGTCCAGCACCTTAACTACCATGCCACCTGCTGGTGCCCAGAAACATTAATTTTATGATATTATAGTATTGCATAATGCATCATTAATTTTTAGGTTTTTGCTATAGAGTGTGTGAGCTTGATGGTGAGACACAGAGAGACAGAAGCGAGCAATCACGCCCCAGGGGAAATGGCCATGCTGCAACCTTCCATTCTCCTGTTAGCATTTTGGGCCTGCATGCACACGCGCCTGGCATGAGTTTCAAGCTGCCGGGTCCAGGACTCGAACCACACAGCCGAACATGCGAGATCCACTGTGTTAACTTCCATGCCACCTGCTGTCCCCTCCAATGATATCGTCATTGCATTAGATGTGATAAATGCAGGGTCCATGAGCAGTGGCCCCCGCTGAGAGGTGACAGGCTTTCTGTCTCTGCCGTCACCAGGTCAAATCCTCGAGGCCCTGGACCAGGAGCGTCTGACCAACCAGACCCTGGTGTACTTCACGTCCGACAACGGAGGCCGCCTGGAGTCCGTCCACGGGGCTGCCCAGCTGGGCGGCTGGAATGGCGTCTACAAAGGTGAACCCCGAGGGGCCAACTCCTTCCAGGAAAGCCAGCGTGGGCTCGCCTGAGCTTTGGTCGGCTTCCTTCTTTCAGCCCATAGTTTGCAGCTCTGCGGAGTCACACAGGCCCTCCTGCAAGGCGAGGGGGTGAGAAAGGCGAGCTGCAAAGCCCAGGGCATTTCCAAGAGTTTTCCATGAACACGTCAGGTGCGATGGGGACCTCGTGAAGGAAAATATTCGCATTCCAGGGGCCAGCCGGTGGGGTTCGAACCCTTGGCACTGGGACGGTGGGGCTGGATGGCTGTCTGGGGTGGGCGTCCTTCCTGCCCTAAGGTGCTGAGCAGCATCTCTGGGCTCCACATCCATGCCAGGAGACCCCAGTGGGCAGTGACCACCTCGGTATTTCTTTCTTCCTTCTTCTTTCCTTCCTTCCTTCCTTCTCTTTCTTCTTTCTTTCTTTCTTTCTTTCTTTCTTGCTTTCTTTCTTTCTTTCTTTTGTTCTTTCGCTTTCTTTCTTTCTTTCTTTTGTTCTTTCGCTTTCTTTCTTTCTTTCTTTTGTTCTTTCGCTTTCTTTCTTTCTTTCTTTTGTTCTTTCGCTTTCTTTCTTTCTTTCTTTTGTTCTTTCGCTTTCTTTCTTTCTTTCTCTTTCTTTCTTCCTTTTTCATTCTCTTTCTTTTTCTTTCTTTTTTCTTTTTCATTTTCTCTTTTTTGTTTTCTCTTTCTTCTTTTCTTTCTTTTTCATTTTCTTTCTTTTTCTTTCTTCTCTCATTCTCTTTTCCTTGTCCTTCCTTCCTTCTTCTTTTTTTCTTTTTTTTAATGCTCTTGCCATAGGGCATGTGCACTCACTGTAGAGAGACAGAGACAGAGAAACAGAAAGCAAGAAATCACCCCCCCTCCCCTCCCAGGGAGATGGCCCTGCTACAATCCCTTCTCCTCCATTCTCCTCTTGGGATTTTGGGCACGCATGCACATGTGTCCAACATAATTTCCAAGCTGCTATGTCTGGGATTTGAACTGCAGTCAGGCATGTGGGAGTCCAGCACCCTAACCACCACCGCACCTATTGCCCCTACATCCCTAACGTCTCCTGAAAGGCAAGTCCATTTCCATGGGAAATGGTCTCTAAAATAATAATCACTTCAATACTCAGTTTCAGGTGTTTTCTTTTTTTTTTTTTTAAGAATGATTTACTTAATTTTATTTACAAACATTATTTTTTAATTTGACCAAAGAAAAACAGAGAGAGACAGAGAGAGAGAAGGGAAGTGAGCAAGCCAGCTGCCAGGTCCAGGACTTGAACCATGGTCAACTCTGTAGGAATTCAGTGTCTTAACCACCATGCCATCTGCTGGCTCAGTTTCAGGTTTTTGTTTTAAGACAGGTTTTTGCTATAGGGCATGTATACTCACCAGAGGGACAGAGACAGAGAGAGAGAGAAAGCAAGAAATCACTCCCCAGGGGGGATGGCCACACCGCAATCCCTTCTCCTCCATTGTCCTCTCGGGATCTTGGGCATGCACACACACACACCTGGCGTGAGTTTTAAGCTGCCAGGTCCAAGACTCGAACTGCAGATGGCTACGTGGGAGTTCAGCACCTTAACCACTGTGCCACCTGCTGGCACAGTTTCAGGTTTTCTGAAAGTTCATTTCTGAGAGAGAGAGAGAGAGAGAGAGAGAGAGGCAGAGAGAGATCAGAAGAAGAGAAAGAAGAGAGAGAGTGCTAGAATGGGATTCTGTGGAGGCTTTCCCACTGCAATCTACCCCCCAGCCTCAGCTGGCCTGAATCACACCTAGCGTACAGGGAGACCCGAGATGTGAACCCATGGACTTCTCCTGTGGGTCCAGCACTGCATGGTCTTCTGTTCTTGCGTACCACTGTACACTGCAGCTGGGAGTTGGGCACCAAGTTTTTTATTTTTTTCCTTTCTTTTTCTTTCATTCCCTTTCCTTCCCTTTCTCCTTTCCTTTCTTCTTTTTCTTTTTTCTTTCTTTTCTTTTTTTTATTTCCATAGGACACATACACTTGCCAAAGAGAGACAGAGAGAAGAAAAGTGAGCAATCATTCTCCTCTCTGGATTTTGAACACCCACGCACATGTAGCCAGAGTGAATTCTGAGTCACCGGATCTGGGATTTGAACTGCACAGTTGGCCTTGTAGGATCCAGTCCCTTACCCTCCATGCCTCCTGCTTGCTGGCCTACAATTTGAGCTTTCAAGGCATACGTGCGGTATGTGAGCATCAAGTGAAGCACATGATTAGATTGGGTTGTTGGTGAAGCCATGATGCATTTTTGCAGAAACAAGCATAGAAAAAAACCATCATGACTTTCCGGATGACCTCACAGCATATACATCATTTTCTTTTTCTTTTTCTTTTCTTTTTTTGTAGAGTTTTTTGGCCATAAGGTGCATGTGCTCATTGGAGAGACACAGAGACACTGAGAGTGAAAATGAGAGAAAGAGACGGAGACAGTGAAAGAGAAAGTGAGAGGTGCCAGGGAGGATGGCCATGTCACAATCCCATCACCGCCATTCCCCTCCCAGGATCTTGGGCACGCACACACGTACTCCATGTGAATTTCAAGCCACCGGGTCCAGGTCTCGAACTGCAGTCTTCCATGTGGCAATCCAGCAATATAACCACTATGCTATCTGCTGGCAGCACCTGCACATCATTTTCAATAGAGAACTTTATAATCTTGTGTCTTTTTAGAGTTTCATCTGTGGACCGGCCCCTCCCAGCCACCCTCTACCATCCACCCCTTCCCATAGCCTTTCTGGTGTCTACACTGTCCTCCCTACTACTGTATTCTCAGTTCTTTCTGTTTTGTCGCAGAGTGCTGACCTTCACTGCGTTGAGCAGGGATATACAGTGTGTGTCTTTCATAGTTTGGCTCAATTCACTCGTTTTAGAGTTTCATCTGTGGACCGGCCCCTCCCAGCCACCCTCTACCATCCACCCCTTCCCATAGCCTTTCTGGTGTCTACACTGTCCTCCCTACTACTGTATTCTCAGTTCTTTCTGTTTTGTCGCAGAGTGCTGACCTTCACTGCGTTGAGCAGGGATATACAGTGTGTGTCTTTCATAGTCTGGCTCAATTCACTCAGCATTAAAGCCTTTATATCCCTCCACTTTGAATCAAGTAACAGGGTCTCAGTGTTCCTCATGGTTGAGTTGATCATTGATACCCTGGGTCACACAGACGCTCACACGAGAGCCTTTCTAGGAACGTTTTATATAGGAAGCACATCTTTCCCTCAGGAGGGGCTCCTATTTTTTCTATCTTTTTTCTTTCTTGATTTACTATCATTATTATTAATCGTATTCAACTTTATTTATCCCTTCACTTATTTTAGTTTGACCAGAGAGAGACAGAATGAGAGAAAGAAAGAAAGAGAAAGAAAAAGAGAGGAAGCGAGAAAGCAAGCTGCCAGGTCTGGGACTTGAACCACAATTGGCTATGTGGGAGTCCAGTGCCCTTAACCACCACACCACCTGCTGGCCCCTGAATTAATATTATTTTTAAGAGACATTTTTATGCTTGCTGGAGAGACAGACACAGAGAAACAGAAAGCAAGAAATCACACCCCAGGGAGGATGGCCAAACTGCAGTCCCTTCTCCTCCATTGTCCTCTTGGGACTTGGGCACCCATGCATACATGCCCGGCATGAGTTTCAAGCCACCAGGTCCAGGACTTGAACCATAGTCAGCCATGTGGCATAACCATTATGCCATCTGCTGGTCCCATGAGTTAGTATTTTAAATAATTCTCTTTAAATTTATTATGTATGTCCAATCGCTGTACAATGCAATCCCAATCAAATGACCAGAGATTTCATCACAGATTTAGAAAAAACAGTCACACAATTGGTCTGGAATTTAAAAGACCTCACCTCCTCCATTCTCCTCTTGGGATTTTGGGCCCACACACACACGTACCTTGTGTGAGTTTCAAGCCACCAGATCCGGGACTTGAACCAGGGTCAAGTACGTGGGAGTCCCGCAATGTAACCATTACGCCATCTGTTGGTTCCCTGCGTCTTGGCAATTCCGAATAACATTGCAATAAACAAGGATACATCCTACCCAAAGTCCAACACTTAACAATCATTCTTTGTAGGTGGCCGAGGAATGGGCGGATGGGAAGGGGGTATCCGTGTTCCTGGAATCTTCCGGTGGCCAACCGTCCTGGAGCCTGGGAAAGTGATCAACGAACCCACCAGCCTCATGGACATTTACCCCACACTCTCCTACGTCGGCGGAGGAATCTTGCCCCAGGACAGGTATGGAAGCAACATTTGCCCTCCCTCTTAGAACACCTGTTCACAGGGACCAGCAGATGGCATGACGGTTACATCACTGAACTCCCATGTAGTCTTCAACCGCGGTTCAAATCCTAGAGCCAGCCCCTTAAACTCACGCCGGGTGCTTGTGCGTGTGTGCCTAAAATCCTGGGAGGAGAGTAGAAGAGAAGGGATTGCAAGGTGGCTGTCCACCCTGGGGGTGCTATCTCACTTTCTGTCTCTGTCTCTCTATCGCTCGGCAGAGCACCCACATGTCCTAGAGCAAAAATCTCTCTAAAAAGGTGTTCTTTCTCATACAAGGAGACTTCACAAAGTTGATGCGAAAAGTGTGAGTTTGGAGCTAGCAAGTGGTGTGGTGGTGAAAGTGCTGGATCCCACATAGTTGACCCCGGTTTGAGTCCCAGACCATGGCAGCTTGAAATTCATGCTGGGCACGTGTGCATGCATGCATGCAAGCAATCTTCAGAGGAGAATGGAGGAGAAGGGATTGTGGTGTGACCATTCCCACTTGGGAGGTGATTTCTCACTTTTTCTCTCTCTCTGTCTTTCTTCAGAGAATGGATGTTCCCTATGGACAAAGCCTTTATTTTTATTATTAGTTTTTTTTAAGGGTGAGTTTATTTTGGTGTGAAAATTGTTGAAATCCGGGCTGGCCTGTGGCATGGTAGTTAAGGCAGCGGGATCCCACGTGGCTGACTGCAGTCTGAACACAGTGGCTTGAGAAACAAGACAGGTGTGTGTGTGCATGCATGCTCACGCCCCAGAAAGGAGGAGGAGACAGAGGAGAGGGGATTGCGGCATGGCCAGGCCCCATGGGGTGAGCGGTGCCTTGTCGCTTTCCCTCTGACTTTGTTTCTTTGCGTTTTTCTGGTGTGAGCACAAACTGTCTAACAAACATGAACTCCAACCAAGCCTCGTTTTCTCATAAACACGTTTTCCAAATTCAAATCAAGCCCTCCTTCCCCTGTATTTCCAGCTGCCCCACCCTCCGCTGGTCTTGGAAACTGTGCAAGAAAATTTCTTTCTTTTTCTTTTTGTTGTCTAATGAGTCAAGATGGATAGTTAAGATTGGAAAAATTCTCCCTTCCTGATTTTCTCCTTGTCCTTCTTTTTTTTTTTCCTTCCCTTTTCAAAGGACTGTTCTCCTCTGACCCGTCTCTTTTGTCTTATTTCTTATGAGAGATTTTTGCTATAGAGCGTGTGCACTCGCTGGAGACAGAGCAAAAGCAAGAAATCAACCCCCAGGGGAGATGGCCACCCCTCAATCCCTTTTCCTACATGGCAAGAAATCACTCCCCAGGGGAGAGGGCCACCCCTCAACCCCTTTTCCTACATGGTTCTCTCAGGATTTTGGGCACACATGCACACATATCCAGTGTGTTTCAAGCCTCCAGGTCTGGGACTCAAACCGCAATCGGCCATGTGGGCATCCAGTACCCTAAACCACTACACAACTGCTGGCCCCGCTGTCTAACCCATTCCTTTTCTTTCTTTCTCTCTTTTTTTTTAAAAGAAGTATTTATTTAATATCATTAATTTATTTTTAATTTGACCGGAGAGAGAGGGAAAGTGAGAAAGCAAACCTCCAGATCCGGGACTTGAACTGTGCTCGGCCATGTGGGAGTCCAGCACCCTTAACCACCGCACCACCTCCTGGCCGTGCTGTCTGACCCATTCCTAACCTTTCCCTTTTCTCCTAAGAGTGATTGACGGCCGGAACCTCATGCCCCTGTTGGAAGGCAGGGTGTCGCACTCGGACCACGAGTTTCTCTTCCACTACTGCGGGGTCTACCTGCACGCGGTGAGGTGGCATCAGAAAGATTAGCAGAGGTGGTGGTGTGTGTGTGTGTGTGTGTGTGTGTGTGTGTGTGCAATTTGCACCCAAATACCTTTTTTGTTTGTTTGTTTTTCAGCTTTGCTATAGGGTACATGCACTAGCTGGAGAGACAGAGAGACAGAAAAACAGAAAGTGAGAAATCATTCCCTGGGGGTGTGGCCACGCTGCAGTCCCTTCTCCTCCATTCTCTTCTTGGAATTTGAGGCATGCACGCACATGCACCTGGCGTGTCTAAGCCTGCTGGCCTCACACCCACATAATTTTTATTAAAGTTTACTTATTTTTCTTGGAGTGAGAGCGTGTGCTCCAGATGTGTGTGATTTGCGAATCGCTTCATGCAGGAAGGAAAGAAAGAAGGAGAGAAGGGAAGACATAAAGAAAGAAGGAAGGAAGGAAGAAGAAAGGGAGAAAGGGAGGGAGAGAAGGTGAGGGGAAAAGAGAGAAAACAAAAACAAAACAAAATTTAAAAAAAAATTGTTCTTGGGGCCAGGAGGTGGCACAGTGGTTAAGTTGCTGGGCTCCCACATGGCCGACCATGGTTTGAGTCCTGGACCTGGTGGCTTACTTTATCATTTTCCTTTTCTCTCTCTGGTCAAATTAATAATAATAGTAATACTAATCACAAATAAAATAAATAATTACTCGTAAAAATTGATTTTGCTAAATTACCTTTGTCAATTTTAGATTTCAAATATTCAGTCGCCGGGGAAGTCATACCGTATTTTTCTATGTTTTTCTATGTAAAAATGTGTCATGACTTTCCTGAAGACCCAAAAGCATTTACCCTTAGATAATTTTCTACTTGGCTCACGCTGCATGAATTCAAGGTAGCGCTTTGAAATGGGATTTCCCACAATTCCAGTGGCCACTTGGATAGGAAGGATCATTGCTTACTGTGTTCATAAGAAGATAAGACAATCGTTCAAGCCTGCAGTCAAATTGGGCATTGACATACGGAGCAGGCCTGGTTAACTTCAGCCGGACACGAGTCATTTATTGTAGAAAGTAGGAGAGGTCTCTAACGAGAGCTGCCTGACCGTGTAGTCTGTGTGAGGAAGGGGCAGGTGAGAAACCAGAAGTGGGAGTTTGAAGGACACAGGGTCATTATTCACTGAAAAGGGATGGGCTCTGCTGGACAGTTGTGAGGAAGGATTTTTTTTTTTTTTGGAGAGTTTTTAGCTATAGGGCACGTGCGCTCGCCAGAAAGACAAATAGAGACAGAGAGACAGAAAGCGAGAAATCAGCCCCCAGCGGGGATGGCCACACCACAATCCCTTAATCCTTTCTCTTCCATTCCCCCCTCAGGATCTTGGGCACACATGCACATGCGCCCGGCGTGAGTTTAAGCCACCCAGTCTGGGACTCGAACCGCATTTGACTACGTGGGAGTTCAGCAACATAGCCGTTATGCCAACTGCTGGTCCCATGAGGAAGGATTTGTACTGGCTTGTATCTTAGAGCTGTGAGCACCCCGAACACATTGAATTTCTTGAGTCAGTTTGGTGATGTTGGCTGAGTGTTAGAGAGTAAACTTTCTGGAACCAGCAGATGGTGTCGTGGTAACATGGCCAGACTCCCATGTAGTCGACTGTGGTTCAAGTCCCAGACCTAGTGGCTTAAAACTCACGCTGGGCATGTGTTTGTGCATGCCAAAAATCCAAACAGGAGACTGGAGGAGAAGGAATTGCAGTGAAGCCATTCCCCCCAGGGGGTGATTTCTCACTTTCTCTCTCTCTGGAGAGTGCATACACCCTATAGCAAAAATTTCTCTCTCTCTAAGAAAGAAAAAAAGACAAAAAAGAATAAACTCTCTCCTTCTCCAGCTTTTACCTCCCATTTTATTGACTGTGAGAAGGGGCAGCTGGACTCAGGCGGCTGGTAACACCTAGGGTGGAGGACACTCTATGTTTGCCTGTAACATTGCGTCTTCTGCTCCTGTGTGGAACGAGGTTCCCCAGGGAGTGGGTGGCACGGTGGTTATGGTGCTAGATTCACATGACTGACTGCGGTTCAAGTCCCAGACCTGGTGACTTGCTTTCTCATTTTCCCTCTCATTCTCTCTCTGGTGAGCACATGTGTTCTATAGCACAAATTAAATAGTAATAATAAATAAAATTAAATACATTCTTTAAAAAAAAAAAAAAGGAGGAGGTTTTATGTCATTAGGAAAGGCGTTTGAGAAAGGTTTTTTTTGGGGGGGGTGGGGTGAGTTCTACAACAGTAACCGAGATGGAGTCACAGCGAAGCTCTGTTTTCCAGGTGCTACGATCTGGAAGGCTCATTACGTGACCCCCAAATTCTCTCCCGAGGGAGCCGGTGCGTGCTACGGAAGCGGAATCTGTGCATGCTCTGGCGATGTCACGTACCACGACCCTCCACTGCTCTTCGACATCTCCAGGGACCCTTCTGAAACCCATCCGCTGAGCCCTGACAACGAAGCGCTATTTAACTCAGTGGTCAAGAAAATAGAGACAGCTATTAAGGAGCATCGTAAGACACTCACGCCAGTCCCCCAGCAGCTCTCGGTATTCAACACCCTCTGGAAACCGTGGCTGCAGCCATGCTGTGGCACCTTCCCCTTCTGTGGGTGTGATAAAGAAGATGACATCCTCCCCACGGCTTCATGAGCGATGGGGACCACTCGTTACGCACCACGAACATACTGATACAATGGTCACGGGGGACTCGTTTGTTCCACTTGGAATTGACAAGGATGGCCTCGACCACGGGTTTATCCTCAGAGGTCAGTTCTTTCTCCACGTCTTGACAGGAGCCCAGTGAAATGAAAATGGGTGTATGCAACAGCGAAACTAGAAGGGAGCATTGGTTCCACAAAGTATCTTAAAACCCTCATTGCGCCATTGTTCAAGGAAGCGGGCAGACCATGGAGACCTTTGGAAGATGCTTGAAACTTTGGTTCCCAGAAGATCCCTTGTAGAAATAGCAGGTTCTATGTCTGTTTAAGTCAGACATGGACTATTTTATATTAGCTATTTTTGGAATAAATCACAGACGAGAATTTCAATTCATCATGAAGGAGAAGTCTTGACACGTTCAGCCTCGCTCCTCGAATTCTTCCTCGTTCTTCTTTATTCTCTTCCTGTTCCAGGAACATTTGGTTCCGAGACATCATACCCGGTTACAAGAGCTCTGTTTCCATCCCGATAGCCGGGTGGCTGGGGAGAAATCTCTTGGACTTGCTTGCTTTCTGTGCAAAATGGGTAAAAGAAGTGTCTGTTTCTCAGAATAGCTGTGAGGGTTCCATGCACTAACTCTGGTGAGATTGCATGGTGTGGAATCAGCACTCGATAAACAGTGTGAGTAATATGGCTGGTTTGGTAAAGAGCGGCAGTGAATATAGTTTTTGAAGGATAGATGAGAAAGAATGGGACTAGCCTATTCTTAATAAAATATATACATATATAGACTGAAATGGCTACATTTTTTTCTTTTCTTTTTTCTTTTTTTAGTTTTTTTTTTTTTTGCCATAGGAAGCGTGTGCTCACCAGAGACAGAGGGAAAGTGAGAAATAATCCCCCAGGGGGCTGGCCATGCTAGAATCCCCTCTCCTCCTGGGGTTTTGGGCACACACACGTGCATGGATCCAGAATGATTTTCAAGCTACCGGGTCCAGGACTGACTGTGGCCACATAAGAATTCAGTGTCTTATGGGACCAGCAGATGGCTTAATGGTTACATTGCTGGACTCCCAGGTAGTCAACCACTGTTCAAGTCCCAGACCTGGTGGCTTGAAACTCATGCTGGGTGCATGTGCATGCATGACCAAATTCTCAAAAAGAGAAAGGAGAAGAAGGGATTGCGGTGTGGCCGTCCTCCCTGGGGGAGGGGGGTGATTTCTTGTCTTCAGTCTCTCTCTGTCTCTCTGACAAGTACACATGCCCTATAGCAAAATTGTCTCTTAAAAAAGAAAAAGAAAATTCAGCGTGTTAACCACCATGGCACCTGCTGCCCTGGCTAAACACGCTTAATGGAAGAAAGCCTATTTTGTCTGCATGTCTGCGGTGACCAACTGCCATGACTGAATTAAACAAACACTTGGTCACTATTGGACAGGTCTCCCGATCATGCATGTAATTGAGTATGAGTATCTATAGCTGTGTGCATGTGCGTGTGTGAATGCGTATATAAATATCTATATGTGTAGATAGACGTGTGTGTGCAATGTGTATGTATGTATATGAGTATCTATAGCTGTGTGCACGTGCGTGTGTGAATGCATATATAAATATCTATATGTGTAGATAGACGTGTGTGTGCAATGTGTATGTATGTATATGAGTATCTATAGCTGTGTGCACGTGCGTGTGTGAATGCATATATAAATATCTATATGTGTAGATAGACGTGTGTGTGCAATGTGTATGTATGTATATGAGTATCTATAGCTGTGTGCACGTGCGTGTGTGAATGCATATATAAATATCTATATGTGTAGATAGATGTGTGTGTGTAATATGTACGTATGTATATGAGATTCAGCGTGTTAACCACCATGGCACCTGCTGCCCTGGCTAAACACGCTTAATGGAAGAAAGCCTATTTTGTCTGCATGTCTGCGGTGACCAACTGCCATGACTGAATTAAACAAACACTTGGTCACTATTGGACAGGTCTCCCGATCATGCATGTAATTGAGTATGAGTATCTATAGCTGTGTGCATGTGCGTGTGTGAATACGTATACAAATATCTATATGTGTAGATAGACGTGTGTGTGTGCAATGTGTGTGTATGTATATGAACATCTATAGCTGTCTGCACGTGCGTGTGTAAATGCGTATATAAATATCTATGTGTAGATAGACGTTTGTATGCAATGTGTGTGTGTCTATGTCTGTGTGCATGTGTGCATAGAAATAAGCATGTACATCTACATGTATGTACATGCATGCATGTAAATGTCTGTGTCTCTCACACTGGGGACCAATCCTGGCACCACACCTGGGGGCTGCACACAGCAGTGGCTGGTGTCTGAGCCACGCTGAGGACTCCCACGTTGGGCACACAGGATAAAAACCCGTGCGTCAGAAGGGCTGACTCCTTCCTGAAATCTCCCAGGAAGGATGTCCTCTTGCCTTTTCCAGCTCCTAGCGATTGCCACACCCACATCCTTTAAGGTGGTTCCTTCCCCCTGGTTCAAAGTCAACAAAGCCCTTCTCCCATGGTACCTCATACACCTTTCTGTTTGCTGCTTTGTTGATATTTTTCCCATTGGTAAGACCTTGGAATCATATAGCATCCACATAGCTATTGCAGGTTAATTTCCTCATCTCAAGGCTAGGTCATTCACAACCTGAATATCTTTGGCAAAGCCTAATTCCCCATTTGCATGTAAAATGATGTTCATGTGTTGCAAGAAATCTTTGGGGGGGGGCATTATCCTGCCTACTAAACACCAAATCTAGATCCCAAAAGTACTCATGTTAATTTGTGTCTGTGTGTGGTGGTGGTGATGTTTTTTTGGAGTACCAATTCCTGCAGATTTGGCGAGCCAGAATGATGCCTAAAGTCATCAGGGTGGGTTGCTCGTCCTTCTCCTTGATTAAAAAAAATAGTACAATAAAAATAAAACCATTCGATGTTTTGTTCTTCGAGAGAGGTTGTGTCAGATATGACACGGGTAAGAATAGTTCCTGTGTTTGATCTTAGCCGAAAGGTCAGAAAGCAAATTCGTTGTTCTTTTCCAATAACGTGACTGCGGACCAGCAGAGGGTGTAGCAGTGAAGGCTCTGGGCAGATTTCTAGGCTCCCAGAAACACAGAGACAGGCTGAGAGTCCCTTATCCGACATGCGTGGCACCGTAAGGGTTTCAGATGTGGGCGTTCGTCATGACTGGGACTTCCTGCATGTACATCGCTTGATATTCTGGGGAGGGGGCCCCGTCTAAACACAAAGGTCATGGATGTTTCTCAGACACCTGCCCCACACAGCCGGGGGATCCTGTGGGCACTGTTCTGTATCTCAGTGCGGATGGAGACTCAGCCCGTGAGGTGGACAGTGGGGTGCGGATGGAGACTCAGCCCGTGAGGTGGACAGTGGGGTGATGGCAGTGCCCAGAAAGCTTCCAGATTTGGAGTGTTTCAGATGTTCAAAACACAGACACACAGACAGACAGACACACATATATCTGTATACACAGGCATGTTTGTGCACATGCAGACAGGTATATATGTGTGTATGTGCGTGAATATATTTATGTGCATGTGTGTATATATTTGTGTGTACGTATATATAATCTGTGTGTGTGCGTGTGTATATAGTCTGTGTGTATACGTGTGTGTGTGCTGGATTGTCAGAAAAGTCATGACATCTTTTTTCTGTGTTTTTCTGACTCGAAAATGCGCCATGACTTTTCTGACAGCCCAGTGTATCTCTGTGTATGTGCCTGTGTATATACGGGTGTACAGGTATGTGTACATATATGTATGTGTGTATGTAAATGCATATATAAATATCTATGTGTGTGGATAAACGTGTGTGTGTGCAATGTGTACGTATGTATATGAGTATCTATGGCTGTGTGCACGTGTGTGTGTAAATGCGTATATAAATATCTATGTGTGTAGATAGACGTGTGTGTGTGCAATGTGTGTGTATGTATATGCGTATCTATGGCTGTGTGCACGTGCGTGTGTAAATGCGTATATAAATATCTATATGTGTAGATAGACGTGTGTGTGCAATGTGTACGTATGTGTATGAGTATCTATGGCTGTGTGCACGTGCGTGTGTAAATGCGTATATAAATATCTATATGTAGATAGACGTGTGTGTGTGCAATGTGTACGTATGTGTATGAGTATCTATGGCTGTGTGCACGTGCGTGTGTAAATGCGTATATAAATATCTATATGTGTAGATAGACGTGTGTGTGCAATGTGTACGTATGTGTATGAGTATCTATGGCTGTGTGCACGTGCGTGTGTAAATGCGTATATAAATATCTATATGTGTAGATAGACGTGTGTGTGCAATGTGTACGTATGTATATGAGTATCTATAGCTGTGTGCACGTGCGTGTGTGAATGCATATATAAATATCTATATGTGTAGATAGACGTGTGTGTG